CCTTCCAGTGAACACTGGAGTTTTTACACGGACAGTAGACGTACCATTACCCTTCCAGTGAACACTGGAGTTTTTACACGGACAGTAGACGTACCATTACCCTTCCAGTGAACACTGGAGTTTTTACACGGACAGTAGACGTGCCATTACCCTTCCAGTAAACACTGGAGTTTTTATGTGGACAGTAGACGTACCGTTACCCTTCCAGTGAACACTAGTTTTTACGTGGACAGTAGACGTACCATTACCCTTCCAGTGAACACTGGAGTTTTTACACGGACAGTAGACGTGCCATTACCCTTCCAGTAAACACTGGAGTTTTTATGTGGACAGTAGACGTACCGTTACCCTTCCAGTGAACACTAGTTTTTACGTGGACAGTAGACGTACCATTACCCTTCCAGTGAACACTGGAGTTTTTATACGGACAGTAGATGTACCATTACCATACCAGTGATTTTCTTTGAATCGTCTTGCAAGTCCTGAGAAATTACGGTCACTGGGACAGCTGGTGTTATAAAAGGGACCATCACAGCTGACCGATATATCAGAAATCTCGAGCAAACTCTTCTACCCCCTTATTCCGGTGATCAGATTCCCTGGAAAAGCAGTGCTTACATGCAAGATGGGATCCTCCTTTTTTAAAAACACTAAGCGAGGGCTTAAAAATCAGGACATTGCCACTGTCCCTTGGCCAAGCTAATTGCTATACGAACCATATAGATCATGTACAGTCTATCCTCGTTCGTACCCTGCAAAAGTACTCCAGACAACTCACTCCTGTGGACACCCTAAGTTTTTCGCAAGAAATATGGTGCATATCTTGTTTTATGTCGCATAATATCATGGAATTTTGATAGCCTTATATTACTTGACGTCCGTATGCATCTTAGAAATGATGACATCACTATTTAAATCACACGCGCATGCGCCAATGGTGCAAATGTTTTCATATGTTATATAAATAGAATAGCCGTTTAGAACTAAGAAGAAATCGAGCTACATTTGTTTTTGTTATTAAATGATTATCAAATTTAATGCAGTTGGTAAGTTGGACTGAAAATTTATTTCATGTATTTATAAATACAAATAATTAGCATTTGTACACGTACTTATAATTTGAGCATGCTTTCAAACATAGTGGCCTACGTATACTTTTAATATGTTGGGAAAAGAGCGTTAATCTGACGTGAAGCGCTAAACTTTTGCATACTTAATACCCGGCTCTAATTCTCTTAAGGTGGCTCTATCGAGATATCGATCTCCTGCGCATGCGCCGACGAAAACATTTCGATGTCATAAATATAAAGAAGACATTCCACGTACCTAACTTGTTCAGTATGAAAATCTGAAGTGATTCATGTGTGTAAAATTGTTTTATCTCCATTTTTAACAGTTAGAGTCTACAGTTTTTATCGCACCATCACAATAAGGT